GCTCTTTGCTCACTGTTGGAGATTATTCCATTCTCTCCTTGTCCCACTCATAGGAAGTTCTTTAAATCTGTTTTGTCTAGGAGCCCCCAAAGTGTTCTAACACATTGTGTTAATGGTATGTTGACAGATTGCAGCCATCTGGTACATCTAGGTGAGCCATCCACAGAGGTATCTTCTTTAGGTGAGTCTGAAAGCCTTCATCAGAGTCTGTGACAGCATGCCTCATCCTCAACGCTCCAGTCCAGTTTTTTTTTTTCCAAATCAAACCAATACAACACAGTCTTTCAGACAACAGATAAACCATGTGAGTAAACCAAGTGACCAGTCTGTCAGAAAACAAAGATACACACCCTACCTCCATGCCCCACATCAATGCCCATTTAGGATCAATGATAATTTTTTTCTTTAGATACATTGGTTCTTTTCCCTTTTTTTGTAAGTCCCACATGTATCTTAGTGTTTTGTGCATTTCCATGCATGAGTGTGAGGCAACCAAGTGAGACAAGAAAGGGACTAGGAATGTGGGGTGAAGTACGGTTGCCTAAAATTTTGAGAATACACTGCTTCCTGTCAAATTCCAATTCTACCACTTTAGCCATATGATCTTAGACTAGGAATTTAATTTCTCTCTGGTTTAGTTTCCTCCATCTTTAACAATAACAACAGTGCCATAATGATGATGATGATTATGATGATGATAATTTTTACCTTTAAGGATTAAACTTGTAAAGAATTCAGCCTAATGGCTGATATTATAGTAAGATAGATAAAAAATTTATGTTACTACACAACATAAACACTTAACAAAAATGAGACTCAAGTTCCAATCATTGCTCTGCAATGCCCTAGAAACATACCACAATTTCAAATTCTAAGTGTATATGTTTTAAATTTCTAGTTCACTGGTTCCAGAAACTCTCTACCACAATCCTTATGATTCCCAAGGGAAAAAAAAAAACAAGCTGCTTATGCTTAGATGCTAAGACTGTCTGCTAGTAGGTTAAAGGGTGAATTCAACTGTGGTGCTTAGAGCCATCCTAGGACATAGAAAAAAAGTGTTGAAGTGTCTGGCATTTTTCAAAAAGTTCATGCTCAGAACAGGAATTGTTTTTTTGTTTTTTGTTTTTTTTTTTTAAATACAAATATAGTCAATCAGGAACTTATCTCTTGCTTTAAATCTTCAAAGAACAGCCAACTAAACCCAAGAGCACCCGTGAGATAGCACTTATCTCTCAGTGAAGAGCACGGAAGGCTCATTTATTTTCCTAGCCTTCACTGTGTACCTGAGCGTTGGATTCTGGGAGTTGCTCAGAACTGCCCAAGTGTGCCTACAGTTTTGTTTAGAAGGAAATATTGAAGCACATTAGGCTTTAAAGTATGTTAACTCCTCATTGCCATACACGGCTTCCATTACAACCATAAAACCCACAGTATTTGCTCTTTAAAAAAAGCCTATAGTCACAATCAATATATAAATTGGATTTTAATTAAGGGCGCAAATAGAGTTATTATGTGCTGATATTTAAGGAAATTGATAGCCACCATATCTTCTGATATGATTGGGTTATACCAAACAAAACAAACCTGTCTATCAATTCAGAGACAATTTCTTTAGCTTGGTAATAAAAACTTTTCCAGACTGTGCATGTGCATGCACATACATGCACACACATACACATGCATGTGCATGCACATGTGCACATACACCCATATGCATGCACATGCACATACATGTGCATGCACACACTGTACTTTCATGGGCTTTAATTTTCCCTCTTAATGGGGCCTGTGACATTTTTTTGAAGACTCTTCTTTTGACCTTCATTTTTGTTTGATTTTACTCAATACGCTGTACAGTGCCTTCAATTTTTTTTCTGTTGGAAGAGTTTTTTCTGGGTAGCCCACATTGGCCTGTAATTTGAGAGTCTTCTGCTTTAGCATCCCAGGTGCTGAGGTTATAGGCCTGTGTAACTACACTGACTTCATTTGTCATAAAAAAGTAAATAAGTATAAATTAAAAAATCAAACCACCAAATTAAGTCTCCAAAAACTTGGAAATTATTGCCCTTTATGCATTTAGCATTTAAAAATCCTGTAGATGTACTACTTTATTCTAATGTATACAGACCCTGTAAGTCAACATGCAATTCAAATCCCTGCTTGATAGACTGAACTAAATACTAATGGTATTCAGATTAATAATTAAATATTTCCAAATGCTTCATTCAACAGCAAAAATCCAAGAACATACTATGCTCTGTACTGTGTATGTGCAGAGATTCATATACAGCAGCATTATGAGGTATGAGGAAACACATTTTTCATTTAAATTGTGTCTACTGATATGCAGAAAGGTTATTTCAGGCTAACCTTGTACTACAGCTATTTATTTTAGCAGGCTTTACCAGGTAGGCATTTTGACACCACAGTAAACAGTCATTTCTCCTCTTTCATATAATTTCATCATATCATAGGATGAATCTGAGAAATTGAAATATAAGCAAAAGGAACATTTCTATAAATCTCAATAAAGATTAAAAATGAGTTAAGAAGCAATATGAAAACATGTCTGACTTTTCAGCTACATCATGTTACATTTTCCTTTGGAGAACAAATGGAGAAGATGGAAATTTATGCACTGAAGAGGTGCAGCCACATGCTGATAATGAATGCAGGAATTGGGGCTGTCGGTTGCAACCAAAGCTCTGTGCCTTGGGAGAACTCCACCATAACGACTGGTACACAATGCTTCCAGTGAGTAACTGCGGGCCCCACCCCCTAAGCAGAATCGGATCACCTCCCCTACCCTGAAATTGTTTTCTTATCATTGCATCTCAGACACTCAACTGAGGCTGGTGGGTAACCAGCCCCCTAGGAGCACCTTGTCTCCCAGAAACTGAGGATGGCAGCATTGCAGGTGGGCTAACAATCATTCTCATGCTAGACAAACAGATTTAAATGTCTCAGATCTAACCAAAGTTTAAGTCATTTTTTTTTTTTACTTAAAAATTTTATTTTTATTTTGCATGTGTTAGTGTTTTTCCTGCATGTGTATAAGCATACAGTGTGCATGCCTGGTGCCCTCTAAGGCAAGAAGAGGCTGTCGGATCTCCTGGAACTGGAATTACAGCTGGTTGTCATGTGGATGCTGGCAATAGAACCTGGGTCCTCTGCTGTGCAGTGAGTGTTTGCTGAATACATATGGGACTTTGGGTTCCATCGAAGGCATGAAAACAGTGAAGGCATTTTTAAATCATTCCTGGGGGAACTTGTGGTTTACACATATGCCATATAAAGCAAATGGTACCCTGTGTCTCTTAAAAACCTGGGACAGAGACGGTGGTGATGGCGCATGCCTTTAATCCCAGCACTGAGGAGGTAGAGGCAGGCAGATCTCTATGAGTTTGAGGCCAGCCTAGTCTCTAGAGCGAGATCCAGGACAGCTAGAGCTGTTACACAGAGAAACCCTGTCTTGAAAAACAAAACAAAACAAAAAGCCAGTACAGTGTGCTATGGATGTCTGGGGGTGGGGTTGGGGGGCTGGTCATTGAAGAGTTAAGAGTATGAAATGGTCCTTGAAAAGGCTGTAGTAGTTTGGACCTGCGAGGTAGTAAGGAATATTCCAGAAGGAAAGAAACACAGGACCCACTGACACAGCTGTGCAGGCGCAGTTATGGCTTCAGTGTTGTTCTTGGAGACTAGTCGTCTGCAGAGAAATGTAAACTATATGGGAAGACCGGAGGCAAGAGAAGGCACTTCCTGCAAACTCCCGGACACTTGGAGCCGGAGCTTGGGAATGGGCCAGGATTATGATAAAGGTTTTAGAATCCAGGCATTCTCTTCTTGGTGCTCACACTTCAGAAGTCGCGGAGAGAGAAAAACAGGAGCCAAGGCAAGTTTCGTGTTGGAGGATGATGGAGTTAGAAGAACCAGTTCCCAGAGTAAACATCCAGCAAGCATAACAGCTCAGAAAAGGACCGCTCAGTGCAAGGTAAGACCTAGAGAGGTCGGAATTCAAGACACAGCGAATTCTGGAAGGCTATGCCACCCCCTGTATATTGGACTAAATTAGATATATTTTAAAGGCAGTATCTAGATATTCTTGGTCAAAAGTAATGTCAGGGTCCCAGCTCTGAATGTAATATTCTCATGTCCTGAATTCTTTTAGAAAGAAAGGGTGTTTTAAGTTACTTGTTTTCCTGAAAGACACACAACTGTTTTGACTGCTTAATGTTCCAACCATCGAGGTGCACCTAAGTCAGGAAGCTGCAGAGCCCAGTAATTTTGTTCAAGTTCATTGCATTTATTACACCCCGAAGTTGGGGAGGGGCCTGGGGTATCCACCTTATCGCCCTCTCACTAAGGGAAAACTTGGCAGAGTTTTCCAGCCAGTAAATAGATCACTAAAGCAAGCAAGCCAGGGTCTGAACAGCGCCCCCGTGGGAAGCAAGAGTCAAAGCGGCCTCCCACCCGGCTTTATCCCCCAAACACAGAAAAGCGTTGACTTAGGGATGGTCCCCGAGCACAGCTGGAGGTTCCCGGAGTGAAGTAACATTCCACCTGGACTCCCGTTTATTCCGGAAGCTTCTTTTATGGGAGAACACTCTGGGGCCCATCCTTCAGGAGCCATATGTCCTCGCCCCACTTCCCCATGGTGGAACAGGCAGCCCGGGTTCTGGTCGCTTAGGGGTCGGGAGGCGGGAGAGCACAACAGCTGGAAGACAAGGGCCGGGAAATCCGTGAAGCCGCGGGAGCGTCCCGGCGGGGCGTCCCAGGGCTTCCCCGACCGCGTGCTTGCGGAGACCGACCGCGGGGCTGCGGACCCCTTGCCGGGTGCAGCTAGGTGGAAGCCCCACGGAGAGGCAGGTGGGTGTGGAGCCTGGACCTAGGCAGCGGCGGGAGCCGAGGGAGGATCCCGGTGAGGTGTGGGCGGCGCCCGATCGCCAGCGCCCGGGCCGCGCCCTGGGCACCGGGGGCGCTGTCGCCTGCCGAGCGCACAGCTCTGGTGCCGGGAGGCCGAGCCTGGCGTTCCCCCCGAGGTGCCCGGCCAGCAGCGCAGCAGGGCCGCCCACCCCGGGAGCCACGATTGCTTGGGAGCTGCGGGAGGAGGAGACACAGAGAAGGAGAGAGAAAGAGAGAGAGGCGGCGGCGGGCGCTCAGCCCGCGGGTGCGCGGAGCGCAGGAGGCGGAGCGCTAGTCTGGGTGGCCGCGGGCGAGTGTGCGCGCCCGGCCGGAGAGCTGCGGGAAGGAGGACCCGCACCCCGAGCGCCCCGCCTGGCTTCTTCTCGCGTGCAGCTAGCGCCGCTGCTGCACAGACACACACCCACCGAACGCCACCGAGCACCCGCCGCCCCCGCCGCCGCCGCCGCCGCCGCGCCTCGGGCAGCGGGATCCAGAGCCAAGTCCAGGGCTGGCGCGGCGCGCAGGGCACCACTTGATTTTTTTTTTCCCCCTTCACTCCAGCCCTCTCTGATCTGGGCGGCGGCGGCAGGGGGATGGGGACTCTAGGCGGGGGAAGGGGGTGACGATCGAGGAAGATTATTGTTCTTTTTAAAGGATGTCTTCGCTTCCTCCCAATGAGTCTTCTGTGAGCCTTCCTACTAGAGGCTGCCAACCGGAGTGAGGGATGTAAAGAGAGAAGGAAAGCCGCCAGGAGCTCCAGCCAGCAGGGGAGACCCTCCTCTCTGCAGAGGGGAGGGGGATTTCCAACGACACAGCATTGACGAAAGGGACCTTCGTAGGAGAGGAGCCCTCCGAGGGAGCGGGGAATCCCACCGCCCTTTGTGGCACAGGAGCCAGGGCTGCTGGCTGAGTGGAGCGGGGTCTGTGGGAGCTAGGTAAGTGGCCCGGGCATTGCTGCTCCCCAAGAGCTCTTTAGAGATGCTTCGCCTTGACAGCCTGCCAGACTTGAGTTGCTAAAGGAACTGGAAACTGCCATATGGCGCCCAGTGGACTTAGATACAAAGCTGACCGGGTTGTTAGCCCTGACTGATGACTATTACTGACCGATTATTAACGCAAGGCTTCTTCCTGGTAGGGAAGACACGCAAGTGTGAGCCCCTGACAAGCCTGCCTTGACCAAAGGGATGAGAACAGTTTCATGTAGGAGAGGAGCCCCTGTTGCCTTCTGTTGCTGTTCGTTTGTTAGTAAATGCCACACTCTCACGCACACACTTGTCGGACTAGACTTAGGGAGTGTGATTTCTCATTGCACGCACAGTCCTAAGAACACTGAGGCATGCATGCGTTTTATTCCTTAATGGTGAGTGGTCTTGGTTCCCAGGAGCGAGCTAGAACAGGTCTCTAAGGAAAGCGCTCCGAGCTGTTCCCAACACTCTCTGCCTAGGAGACTTGGGAATACAGTTGCCCTGAGGGGCATCAAAAGACACCCACCATTTGCCTCATCATCTGCTCTAAAGACTTAACGACCCTTTTCAAGATAATATCCTACCATCCATTTTCTCAGATTAGGAGCATTTATTTGTATCTATTCATAAAAAGTGTCAATGTGCAATGTGCATAAACATGCCATTTATACATTTATGACTGCACAAGTGTTTTAACAGGTAAGATTAAATACTGGGAAATTTTAATATGCAAGAGCAGGCATTGAGGTAATTGCATGCAGGTTCAACACTCCATCTAATCAAATCATTCATTAATGTCAATATTTTAAATAGCACTTCACATTTCTATTTTTTTCGTATTGATTGGTTTTGGGGTTTGTTTACAATCTGATTTTTTTTCAAGCCCAGTCCAAAAGAAAAGTAAATATCTCACTGTTAATGTTTTTAATGTCTAGCATTGTGTGAGACAGACACCTCTTGGTTATTTATCAGTGATAGCACATTGCATAGAATTAGCAAATAACAGATTTTGGTCAAATGTCTGAAGTCTTACCTGCCAGTACTGAATGAGTCATAGGAAAGAATCTGCAAAGAGAGTAATATGTTAAAATTGTTCACTTGTAAAGTTTTGTCTATTTCACTCCAGATGCATGAGCAGGGTGCATCAATAAACACAAGAATGTCCCACACTTATCTTTTAGTATGTGAATAAAACATATAGATATCTAGACTAGAGAGTTCTTTGTTCTTAAATTAACCAGAACTTAAAGAGTTCAGTAGTTATGCGTGTAAATGTGCATTTTTTTTTAGTTTTTTTTTTTTTTTTTTAGTTTTCCTGCTGCTTCGGGTGTTGTTTTTAATGTAGGGCTTATTTGTGTAGCTGCAAAGACTCTGAAAATACTGAAGGTCCTGTATGAAAATAGCCCACTCATTTCTCCACTAAGTGCAAAGGGACCAGGTCACCTCACAGTGTTTCTATGCAGCCACAAAGTCAAGCTTGTGGTCTGTTCCTTCATGGAGTGCCGCTGGTCACAGCAGCTGTTTGTCACAAACAGGAGTCTGTCTAACGTGCTCTTCTTTCTCTCGCACTACTCAGACTTTTGGAGAGAGGGATGAAGAAGCACTTGGCTTTCTCTCTCCTTTGGCCTTCACCTTTCCCTTCAAAGCTAGTCGTCTCCAAGTCTCCCTCTTGCACCAACCCCTACATGCAGATTCTAGAAACAAACTCTACTGCTTGCCACTTGACGTTTTCAGGCTCATTCTGGGTTTTCATCCTCTTGTGCAACCCTTTCCTGAAGAGAATCAGTCTGTGCATCACTTGAAACTGTTTCCCAATTCATCTTATCCCACAGTTAAGTTCTCCATGCTTGTTTGTTTACTGACAATTCAGATCAACCGGTAGAAATATCACCATATCAATGCTTTTGATTTGGCTTTTAAGATGTCCTTGTTGATGTCATGGGGGAATAAGAGTTTAGCCTGCCCTTCTAAGATGTTCAAGAATGAGATTGCTCGACAAAATGAAATTGCAGGATGTGGGTTCAATCACATTTCTTGGCAACTTAAAGGCATATCTGATCAGATTTTTGTTAGACTTGTCTGAATGCTTAAAAGTGTCTAAGTCTGTGGAGCACTGAGAAGTAGTTTGTTTCTTGAGGGAAAAAATGAGTGGCTTTTTGAACTGCTGTTTTAGCGAGATCACTGCACATGTCTACATCTTATGAAAGTAGATCATGTTACTGGCAATCTAGGAAAGCCACAGACTATATTTCATTTCATTCCAAGGCATGATTTTTCTTTGATTAATTCCTTGAAATTTACTATCTCTTATAGACTAATTTCTAAAGGAAAACACTTAAATTGATAGGTAACTTCCCCATATGTATTCTAAGGTAGACGACTATGGTTAAGATATTCTGTTTATTTCCAAATATTCTTTAGGGTGTTCTTACATTCACACAGTCATCAAGTAGGATTTGCATAAAAGCACGCTACCTTCTAATTTCACAAGGCCTCCCGAGGCGTGCAAAGCACAGGAGGGTTATGTGTGAAATCTTTGAATTTCAAGAGTATTTTTAAGGTAAGAATTTATGGTCGTATTACTCCCAGGGACATAAAAAAAAAAAACTTTATAGAGCAGAGCAATTTCTGGATTTCTTAGTTATGTACCGCAAGTATCTCCGTAGATCTGTAGTCGATTCTTATTTATTGCTTATTTCCTCCCTCCCTTCATAGATAGTCTCCCCAGCTCTGTATTAAAGTGTAGTTTCTAAGGAAGAAAGAAAGTCAAATGTTGTCAAAAAAGGGTCCCTTAACCCATGTGAGCCAAGTCCTACATTAGCCTTTCAAATACTTCTCCCATAGGCTGAATTCTACCTGTTTTCACTCTCCAGTTTAATATCATAAAGAGGTTAACTAATTTGTTCATTAATTGGTATAATACTCATTAAGTGTATATCAGAAGAATGCTAGATAAGAACGTAACACATGTCAAATATATGGAAGACAGTCCCTGCCCCCAGTTTTTAAAGTATAAGTTAGAAAAAACAAAAACAAAACTCTTGCATTCTTGGTTGAGGAATCTCAGTTTCAGTTCAAAATGACAGATTTCTTACATGTGGAAACACATTTCACAATTTCATACTTAATCAAAGCAAATTCATGAACATGATCATTAAAATTTGTCAAGGCTGTGAATTTAGGACTTCTCAGAAAACCCTGTCATCAACAACACTGAAAGTTAACTAAATGTTTCATTTTAGACTTGCAGAGTACATGAGACTATTTTCATTATAAATCAGAATATTTATTTTGTTTTCTTTAAACAAAATAATTGTAATAGCCCACACTTAGTTGAGCCAGATGCTGTCTTAAGTATATTGCAAAAATTTCTCCATTCTTACCTTCACCTTATGAGGAAGCCAAAACTAATGCCCTTCATACAGGGACATGAAAGCTAATATTCATAGTCATTCCTTACCCAGAGTGACACAGGAAGGAAATGGAGAAGTCACTTTAAAGTCAGTATTTTGGGTTCAGGAACACTGTGACCCACTTTGATATTAGGGCATGTTGGGAAAGATGACCCTAGACAGAATTAGGAAGTATGCTTTCACTTCTAGGTTCTTGGGGAGCTATGTATTCTCTCTACAGAGGGCATAGTTCTACACATAAAGGGAGGCTTGGGAAAGACCAAGTGGAGGGGCACTTTTTGTTGTTATTGTTGCCCCTGACCTGCTCTCCCCCATAAATGTTTACTGGGAATCTGAAGGAAGGAAGTCCAGTTGTAGGCTGACTTTCAAATTGAGGGCTCCTAAGGAAGCTAGCAGATTAGAGAGCACTGTGCTTGCAGTGACCTTTGAAAGTGTGGGGCTAGGGGAGTAGTTCTCTGCATGCAGCTCTATCCCAGCAGGAACATAAGATGCAGTGTGGTGGCTCAGACCTGTAGTCATAATGCTGGGGAGGCCAGGCTGGAGGGCTTCTGACCACACAGCCTACCTCACTCAGCCTGTCTCAAAGGAAGAGGGCAGCCTTCCCCGGGAACAACACCAAAGCTATCCTCTGGCCTCTGCATGTGTACTCCACTCACATGATACACATCAGTTAAAAACAAAACGGAAAAATGTCTAACACAGGTGACCTGACTGGTGGACTGCTCACAGGAGTCCAATTTTATGCCTAAGTTTTGTGAATTATTTTCAATAAAACATAGCATCACAGGCATTTTTAAAATGACATATTTATGCCTTATAGGAAAATTATTGTATTCAGAGATATGATAGTCATTTATCGGTGTCCTCATCTTCTACTGTGCAAATATAAACCCAATATTTAATGGGAATTCAAGCACAGTCTCCTAACAGATTCTTTCTAGTATATTCCTAGAATGCTTCTGTTTTATTACACAGTTAATAACTATAATTGTGGAAACAAAGCAAAAAAAAATCCTCCTTTGAAATATTTGTCAAGAGAACTTAAATAATATTTGAAGCAAAGTTCTTTCTAAGTAGCCACTGCTTCTGTTTATGTAGAAAATACCATCTGGCTTCAATTTGAAAGATAAAATGATTAAATATTTTTTGCAAGATGCCATTGAATCAAATATTTGGATTCATCTTCATGATTGATTGACACTTTTATTTTTCACGCAGATGTGTCTCATAGACTGGGTGACATAGTACATACAGTTGTCTCTCAGACTACAATTGGCTTGTAGTATACAAGTTCACTTAAAAACTTACATTTCCCTATTTAAAAAAAAAAAACAGTCTTAAGTGATGTTCAGGTCCTCAGACAAAATTAACGAAGTCTTTTAAATCAGTAAAATACTTGAAGTACAGTGCCATTAACAGTAAAAATCCATGACCATTATCTCTAGTAGTGTTCCCAGGAAATGGTTGTTTTAAATAATGTGTATTGACCTCTCTGTATGAGACTCCTTGGGGGCATGCAGAGGTGGATGCAGTACTGTCCAGGTCCACCAGGAGGAG